GCTAGATTGTCGGGCTCAACGGGTAGTTATCAATGGCTCCATGTCTAGTTGGCAGCCGGTATCAAGTGGAGTGCCCCAAGGGTCGGTCCTGGGGCCGGTTTTGTTCAATATCTTCATAAATGATCTGGAGGATGGTGTGGATTGCACTCTCAGCAAATTTGCGGATGATACTAAACTGGGAGGAATGGTAGATACGCTGTAGGGGAGGGATAGGATACAGAAGGACCTAGACAAATTGGAGGATTGGGCCAAAAGAAATCTGATGAGGTTCAATAAGGATAAGTGCAGGGTCCTGCACTTAGGACGGAAGAACCCAATGCACAGCTACAGACTAGGGACCGAATGGCTAGGCAGCAGTTCTGCAGAAAAGGACCTAGGGGTGACAGTGGACGAGAAGCTGGATATGAGTCAGCAGTGTGACCTTGTTGCCAAGAAGGCCAATGGCATTTTGGGATGTATAAGTAGGGGCATAGCGAGCAGATCGAGGGACGTGATCGTTCCCCTCTATTCGACATTGGTGAGGCCTCATCTGGAGTACTGTGTCCAGTTTTGGGCCCCACACTACAAGAAGGATGTGGATAAATTGGAGAGAGTCCAGCGAAGGGCAACAAAAATGATTACGGGTCTGGAACACATGAGTTATGAGGAGAGGCTGAGGGTGTTGGGATTGTTTAGCCTGCAGAAGAGAAGAATGAGGGGGGATTTGATAGCTGCTTTCAACTACCTGAAAGGGGGTTCCAAAGAGGATGGCTCTAGACTGTTCTCAATGGTAGCAGATGACAGAACGAGGAGTAATGGTCTCAAGTTGCAGTGGGGGAGGTTTAGATTGGATATTAGGAAAAACTTTTTCACTAAGAGGGTGGTGAAACACTGGAATGCGTTACCTAGGGAGGTGGTAGAATCTCCTTCCTTAGAGGTTTTTAAGGTCAGGCTTGACAAAGCCCTGGCTGGGATGATTTAACTGGGATTTGGTCCTGCTTCGAGCAGGGGGTTGGACTAGATGACCTTCTGGGGTCCCTTCCAACCCTTATATTCTATGATTCTATGATACTCTGTGTCCAGGTAATTGTGATTTTGGCTTTGGTCAGGCAGCCCATCCCATTGCTAAGTAAACTTTCTGGTCTTTCTCTCAAACAGAAACCACTGCATCTAACTATCCTTCCTCCCTGCCTTTTGCTTTGCAGTACTCTCTCCTTTTCTGTGTATCTGTATTTTTATCTCCGTCTCTCACCATTCTTTCCTTCCATACGCTTTCTCTCTCTCTCTCTCTCTCTCTCTCTCTCTCTCTCTCTCTCTCTCTCTCTCTCTCTCTGTGTGTGTGTGTTTAGGTTGGGCACTCTGATGGTATATAACGGGTATATTTCTTGTGGCAGGTGCTGTGGGGGGTGAATCAATCCAGTCCAATAAACCCAAAGTGCCTAGAGGAGAAGGGGACAATGTGACACTCAGCTGTTCTTACAATACCAGCTACTCTGATGTCTATCTCTACTGGTACCATCAGTTTCCTGACCAAGGTCCGAAGTACGTTCTCCGAACAGGTGCCAAGGCATACAGCTCTGTCCGGGGTTTTGCAGAGTTTGCCAAGAAGAGATTTACTCCCCAGGCTGATGACACCTCTACAGTTGTGACTATCACAGCCTTGGAGCTGGCAGACATGGCGCTGTATTACTGCACCCTGCAGAGGGCCCAATGACAGAGTCTCATCCCAGAGCTGTGCAAAAAACCCTCCCTTCCCTCACATTAAATTGTCCCCTGTATCTTTTCTCTCTCCTCTGCAAACTCTTTGAGGCAGGGGTAGCATTAAGAGGTTGCACAGGACCTAGTATAATGGGGCCCCTTTCTCCCCCATCTGTCTCCTCCTGTTGTCTCTTGTCTTATACTCAGATTGTGAGATCTTGGGACAGGGACTCTTTTGTTTTATACCTGTACAGCGCCTGGCACCATGGGGTGTTGGTCCATGACTGAAGGGTTCTACACACCCTCCTACTCAGTAATAGAATCCTTCAGTGTGCGTGTGTGTGTGACTGTTTTACAGAGAAGAGCTGTCAGGAGATATCTCACTGAGCAGGAGCTAGGAACAGGTAAGGAAGGGAAATGCTGGGAAATCCACCTTGGAAATCTGTCTATCCCATAGAAGTGAGAAAGTTAAAATCTCTCAGCTTGGATGAAGTTTGTAAGAGACTCAAGGAAGAAGACCCTGGAAGAAAATTATAAACCATCATGGAGAAGTAGACCCTGTCCCTAGCCATTGTGATCCTCAAAAACTGTAATAATTGTGGAAAGGATGTTTGAAGGGAGCCTAAGGCAATGTGTGTTAGGCACCTTTAAAAGCCCCACTAGGAACCTGGTTGTATCTTTAGGTGCCAGCTTTTGAAAATCTGACCCTAAATGACTTATCAGAGGTCAAATGGGGAATCTGTGGAAGAACAGGGAACTTAACCCAGATTTCCACGGTCCCAGGCTAGTGCACTCTGTGAGATATATGCCATTTTTTTGCATTTTCGGGAGATCTTACTGTATTAAATGTATGCCTCACTGAGGGCCAGGGATTGTATGCAATTCACTGGGGGAAGGGAGACGACAGCTCCCTTGGGACGTGAGAACAATGGGGGTGTGAGGAAGTGATGAGGCAAATTCTCTCAGCTTCTAACACATGCCAGTATGCACCATTTCCTGGGGAGACTTTCAGGTACTGGTTCAAGCTGGATGCAGTACACCCCAGCCCACAGAGAATGGATTTTTAATAAACATCCTGAGATTAAAACTGGCTCAGGGCCTTTTTTTCTGATCAAGCAAACAGACAGGCCCCTTCTGTCCAATGGGGAGTACCACTCCTTAGGGGAGGATTAGACAGAATGACTTGCCAGAGCCCTTGCAGGGTTGTGGGTGTGTGTGTGTGAGTGAGTGAGAGAGAGATCACTGGTAAACTTATTAGCTTGTGCATAGGCTCCTTAGTTACTGTTAATACATTTTCTCAGCAATGATTTTACCTTAAGAATAAAGTGTGCTTGCTTAGAAAAAAAGCGGTGTGGTAATTTAAAACTGCAGGAAATTACCTTAGAAGAGAAAGCAAAGCAGAGGTGCTGGCCTGCTTGGGCAGTCTGTGTAACTGGGGACATCACAGTGTAGGCAGGGAGCTGCACCGCCTGGAAATACCCTGGTGAGGAAAGAGAGACACACACTTTTCTCTCCAAGAAAGCTAACCTCTGTGGAACCAGAAGCTGGAGAGGGGTGCCTGGAACATGGAGGGGGAATATAGATGCAGTTGCCCAGAACTGTGACCAGTGGACCATCCGTCCTCTCTTAGGAGGATAGCCTGGGGCCCACAAAGTGGCCTAAGAGCGTTAGGCATTACAGTCCAACTCAAGATTTTGCAGCAGGCAGGTTTTGCAAGATCACTGTGAACCATGGCTAGAAAAATGTTTTAAGACGTGCTGCATTATTAATGTCATCCAAGCCCCTTAGCTCTGAAAATGGCTTTCATGAAACGTCTCTAGCCTGCATGCACTGCTTCTCTGGGAAGACACCATCCATGAGACACGCCAGCAGAAAATAAGTTATTTCTCCCCATCAGCGGGCTGAGAATGCTTTTCTTGCTCCCCCTCCACTTTTCTACAGAGGGCGCTCCAGAGCAGCGCATCCCATCGTATTTCCTTGGTTTTACAGTGTTACTTTAGTCCCAGGCAGGGATAGGACGTCCACAAAGAGGTCGCAGAAAGGGCAGGTTCCATATTTATAATGCCAACGGTTAAATGAGAAGCAGCAGGCAGAAATCCTTTGTAAGTAATTGGTGAAGATAATCTGAATTTACAAAATGCCCTGCTTGATTCTACATCTCCATCTTATTCTCCTGCTGTCAGGTGAGAGCCATTTTCATTGTGAAGCAGCTGTATACATACTTCAGAACCTCAGCTTTTGTAATGTTTAGCCAGTAAAATGCAATCTCTAAAAAACCAAAACCGAAAACATATGGGATTTTATGTAATTATTTTGGCAAGCACTAGAATTGTATTAAAAATCAAGTTTTCGCTCATCAGATGTGCCTTGAATGATAGATAGATAGATAGATAGATAGATAGATAGATAGATATTACAGAAAAAAAAGGATGGATAAAAATGTGTTTCAAGCCTTTCCCCCTTTTGCAGGTATTGTTGAAAGTTATTCTGTGTCCCAGTCACCTCCGGAGCTGAGAAACTCCGCTGGACACAATGCAACATTACAGTGTAACGTCTGCACGACAGACAGAAGCCCCTATCTGTTTTGGTACCCAAGCCAACCTCCCCAGCACGTACTGGCAGCTTTCAGGTCTGCTGATGAGACCAGGTTTGCCCCTGGAAAATTCTCAGCAGTTTTGTACTTGGAGGGTAACGATTATTTTATTAATAAGATGCGTCTGACCTTGGAAATTGAAGAGGTGTCTCTCCAGACTCCTCCGTGAACTACTGTGTTATCAGACCCCACTGTGGAGTAGGGTAATATCTGTACCTGTACAAAAAGGTAACGGTTTCTCAGGGCAACATAGTATGGAAGGCACTGTGTTTTTCCGCTTGACAACGTCTTTGTCTAAGTTTGGTTCCATTCAGGCTTCCCACCCCGGCTGGATCTTATATATTTGCACTGTAAATGTTCGCTTTTTATTTAAATTAAGATACTTTTGCCATTTGAATGACTGAAGCCCTTAAGTACTATAAGGGGGGGTGCAATTGTATTTTCACTTTCAATCATATTTCTTCCCGCTATCGCTTCATGTGTTGCTCATTGTTTACTACTCTGTCTGCTCCTAGATTCTTGGACCCAATCCGGGAAAACACCTAGGCACCTGCTTTAGTCTCGCGGAAATAAATGGGCTACACACACGTTGCTTAAAAAATTAAATGTGTTTAAGGGCTTCACTGGGTCAGGATTTTAGTTTAAAACGCTGACGATATAAATGATTATTTAATATTTTCAGTCTCTATCCCTGTATAATATTATACCACCAAGCTCCTCTTGACCAAGCATGACTACTTATCTCAGTGATATTTACGAGGGTAATTACATGCAGAAATGTGTAATGTTTTAATACCATATTTGTTGCCTTTGCAAAAATTTTCCTTGAGAAATTGGTTACCAAATGTTCTGAATTTGGAAACACCTGCCAAAAACCACTGGGTCAGATTCTGGTCTCTTTCACAGCAAGGGAAGCCTGAGAAAACTCCAGTGCTCCAGATCCTGATCTAGTGAAAAGCATTGTCGTTCTAGCAAAGCCAATGTCTGTCTGTCTGTGAGCAGGATGTGGGCAGGCAGCCCAGGGGCTAGAGACGGAGTGAACATCCAGAAGACAGAGCCAAGGGGCAAAGCCAAAGTGAGGCGTGGAGCTGAGGGCCAGGGTAGGAGCATGGCTGGAACAAGCCAGCCCAGAAACTAAAGTAGCAGCCCTGGGAAAGGATTTGGGCGACTCCTGGACTGTTGCTGCTGCTGGGTTTAAAAGCTGGTCTGCTGACTCTTCCAGCCAATCCGGGTGTGTTGTCTACGAGGCAGGCCAGCTGCCTGTTGTCCACTGCAGGCCAGCTGTGCTCTTTAGGATTCCCAGACACTGGATCTGCTACCAGTCCTCTTTCTTTCTTTCTTTCTTTCTTTCTTTCTTTCTTTCTTTCTTTCTTTCTTTCTTTCTTTCTTTCTTTCTTTCTTTCTTTCTTTCTTTCTTTCTCAGTTACCTATTAACCAGAAAACAGAGCACTGACTAAATGCACCTGAGGTCACTAGAGATCTCAATCTCTTTCCTATACCCTGACAATTACAAACAAACAAACAACAACAACAAAAAACGAGGACTTTTTCTAGAAGTGGGATGTGGGGGGAGATCCCCAGATGAATTAGGAGAAGGAAGTAAACATGATGTTACAGTGAGGTCAGCCGCAAACCCCACCACCCTTTGCTTCCTGGGAAGCTGTGTGTCCAGATCCGCCCCAGAGAGGGGTAAGGCAGAATCTGGGTCAGGTTTTAACATTCGAGGCGCTTTCTGCAGAGTGTGGAGGTTTGAACGCCTCTCAGTGGAACTACCGGGGGCCTCTTATCTCAAACAATGAACAAGTGTGTGCTTCTGAGCCTATTCCTAGCGACTCGGTGTCCAGGTAATTGTTGTTTTAGCTTTGTTCGGGCAACTTCCCTCACTGCTTATGAATCTGTCTCATACCAAGTTGCATTCTTAATTATCTTTCTACCAGCTGTCTCTTTCTTTCCCTCACTCCGCCTTTCTCAGTCTGTCTGTCTGTCTGTCTCACTATCTCTCTCTCAGAAGAGTGCTCTCAGACTATCTAATCTAATCTATCTATCCCTCCCTCCCCATACACCCTCTCTCTCTATCTGTCTATCCCCACACACACCCTATTTCTGTCTACACATCCCCTCTATCTAGCCCCATGCACACTCCCCCCATCTATCGGGAGTGTTTCGTTTTGTTGCAGGTGCTGTGTGGGGCAATTCCATCCAATCCATTGAACCCGACGTGTCTGTCACAGAAGGAGGCGCTGTGGCAGTCAGCTGCTCCTACAGCACCGGCTATAGCGGTGTCTCTCTCCACTGGTACCGCCAGAGCCCCAGCCAAGCCCCGCAGTACATTCTCCAGAGAGGCGCGAAGGGAAGCACCATCAGTGACCACGCAGATTTTGCCCGGAGGAGGTTCACTGCTGACGCTAACGCGACTGCTACAGTTCTGACCATCTCAGGCCTGGAGCTGGCGGACGAAGCTGTGTATTATTGTGCCTTGAATGAGACACAGTGAGAGAGTCCCCGCAGACAGCTGCACAAAAACCCTCCCACAGCCCTCACTTGCATTCTTCCCCATCTGTCTCGGTTGTTGAGTTTGAAAAACCTTTGAAGCACGGGCTGTCTCTCACTAGGTGTCTGTGCAGCTCCCTGCCTGACAGGGCCAGCCCAGATCTCAGTTTTATTGTCCAGGTGCCATCACCATGACCGTCAATTTCCAACTGTGTGCTCGGAAATGCTTGGTCTCAGCGTTTTAATCTGATTTCGGGTTTTGAACAGCAGATTCCCATTAAAAATGAACAGGGACGGATATAATAGATTGACAGATTTTAAAAACCAGAAGGCACCGATCTGATCGTTTCTGACTCCTGCATAGCACAGGTCAGAGAATGTCATCTCACAAGTCCTGCTTTCAGGAAAACATTTTCAAAAATGCCTTTTGACAGTGGAGCACTACGGAATTGCAAGCGCTCCCGTGACAGCGCTTTGATGTGTGAGTCTGGTGGCACGCGCTCAGACTTGCTGCTCTGGGTGTGTGGGGGTGGGGATGGGGGGGTGATTTTTCAGGGGTTAGAGCAAGTTAAAGCGCTACAGAATGATGAATGTAGACAAATATACCTTTTACTGAGCACCTCACAGCCCCATAAAATGTATTTATTTTCACATCGTTTCCGTGATATAAGGCAGCACCATGATCTTCATTTTGGGGATGAGGTCCTGAAGCACAGAGAACTAACAAGTCACCCACCCAAGGTCACACAGATAGTCTTTAATAGAGCAGGGACTAGAATCTTGCAAAGTTACAGCGCCGCTCAGAGAGCACAGAAGGAAAACTGCAGTGGTGTGTTCACACCGACAGCTGCCTGCACGACATCGTGTTCACACTGGCAGCATTCGCAGCGCTTTTCAGAGCGGTGCACTCTGGGCAGCTGTCCCACAGAGCACCTCTTTCTCTTTTGCTGCTAAGACTTGTGGGAAGGCGGAGGGGACCGCGGGACATCCTGGGTCCTGTCCCAATGCCCCGTGGTGTATTGCTTCACATCCCATCAATCCCTGCCCTTCCATCCCCATTTGGTGCCATCTTTCAATGGTTTGTGTGCTGCAGGCCCTGCTTCTTTCTGGCTGCAGGAATGGATCCCGAGCTGTTGACCAGGATGCTGCTTGTACTAACCAACACTTCACAAGTGGCCGTGGAGTTATTCCTTAAACTACAAAGGCAAGAGGAGTGCCATGTTGATCTCGCCACATGTGTAGCATTGACATGAGATTGCTTGTGGCATTCAGGGACATGCTCACTACCATGGAACCCCGCTTTTGGGCTTGGGAAAGAAGCACTGAGTGGTGGGATCACATCGTGATGGACAGCTGGGGTGAGGCACAGGTCTACTAGGGGGCGCTGCAGACCTGCATATTAACCACCTTTGACTTTGTAGTTTGTTGCTATGTACAGTACAACAGCTTTAACGTCACAAGGCGGGAAGGAAATTGAAGTGGGGCTTACAGAAAAAGCAGGGCTCCTTTTTACATCATGCACAATCATTCGAAATAGATAAAAGAAACAACAAATAAATTAACAGAAGCGGGAGAAATCTTGCCTTGCTCGTTGCAGACACCAAGTGAGCTCCAGGTTAATTGAAGCTGCAGCGAGCATGCGGTGTCTACTAGTACAGCTTTATATTCTACTGTTGTTGTCAGGTGATGTCATAAATATAAAGCGAAGGGTAAACACCTTTAAAATCCCTCCTGGCCAGAGGAAAAACCCTTTCACCTGTAAAGGGTTAAGGAGCTAGGATAACCTTGCTGGCACCTGACCACAATGACCAATGAGGAGACAAGATACTTTCAAAGCTAGAGGGGGGAGAAACAAAGGGTCTGGGTCTGTCTGAGTGATGCTTTTGCTGGGGACGGAACAGGAATGGAGTCCTAGAACTGAGTAAGTAATCTAGCTAGATATGCGTTAGATTCTGTTTGTTTCAATGGCTGAGAAAATAAGCTGTGCTGAATGGAATGGATATTCCTGTCTTTGTGTCTTTTTGTAACTTAAGGTTTTGCCTAGAGGGACTCTCTGTGTTTTGAATCTAATTACCCTGTAAGGTATTTACCATCCTGATTTTACAGAGGTTATTCTTTTTATTTTTACTTCTATGAAAAGTCTTCTTGTAAGAAACTGAATGCTTATCCATTGTTCTTAAGATCCAAGGGTTTGGGTCTGTGGTCACCTATGCAAGTTGGTGAGGATTTTTATCAAACCTTCCCCAGGAAGGGGGGTGCAAGGTTTTGGTGAGGATTTTGGGGGGAAAGACGTTTCCAAACGGGCTCTTTCCTAATAAAACTGGTTAGACGTTTGGTGGTGGCAGCGAAAGTCCAAGGGCAAAAGGTAAAATAGTTTGTACCTTGGGGAAGTTTTGACCTAAGCTGGTAAAAGTAAGCTTAGGAGGTTTTCATGCAGGTCCCCACATCTGTACCCTAGAGTTCAGAGTGGGGAAGGAACCTTGACAGGTGAGGTCCATTTTTGTGATGTTCATTATGAATGTGCAAAAGTGTGAAACTCAAAAAGTGTTTCTAAGGGCCAGGGAGCTCCCGCTGTTAACATATTCCAGGCGAAAAAGAAAATCAATGAACTGTGACATTGAAAATTGCATGGTGTTTAGGGGAGAAACATATTATCCTTTTACAAAGACACACGCTGTTTAAAGTTAAGAAAAGACGTCATTCTGTATTCAGGCTGGGATTTGCAGAGCTGCCAACGGATCTGGGCAGCCAGTTCCCATCAATTTTAAAGTATCTGCATCTCTTGGGCACCTTTGAAGATCTCAGCTGGAGCCTTTCTAAAAAAAAAAAAAAAAGGAGAAAAATACAGAGATAGACAAATAGTTATATATTGCAGAACTGGGAAGGACAGATAGGTAGAAAGGGTATGTGGTGATAGGTAGATAGACAGAGAGTGGGATGTATGGGGATGGATAGATAGATCACATTTATTGGAAAACTTTTAGATATCCTCAGCTGACAGACACAGAGACAAACAGTGTCACCCAAAGCCAAGGACAGCTAACCTGGGTACAAAGTGAATCTGTCACACTGGACTGTATTTTCTCGACTGAAGATACAGGTTCTGACATATATTGGTATAAACTGGACAGCAGCGGGCAGACGAAGTACCTCTTCTGAAGGTCTGCCGGAAGCAAGCACAATGGGGCTGGGAATCGTTTCTCACTGGACTTCAGACGAGGTGAAACATACATCGGTCTGAAAATTGCTGAGTTAGAACCGAGCGATTTGGCGATATTTTTCTGTGCTATAGCTGAGAGGGACTTAGGTTACCACTGCAGGTGGGTTAATAGAGGCACCTTTACAAAATCCAGTGATCATTTTTCTCTTGACTCTGAGACAAAAAATGGCACAAAACGAAATCAGTGTAAAAAGACACAACAAGCCACAAGCAGGGTTTGAATCAAACGGTGCAGGTGTAACTGAAACCGCACGGTCCCTAACTGTGTGGAAATGACAGGTTTCAGAGTAACAGCCGTGTTAGTCTGTATTCACAAAAAGAAAAGGAGTACTTGTGGCACCTTAGAGACTAACCAATTTATTTGAGCATGAGCTTTCGTGAGCTACAGCTCAGAAGTGAGCTGTAGCTCACGAAAGCTCATGCTCAAATAAATTGGTTAGTCTCTAAGGTGCCACAAGTACTCCTTTTCTTTGTGTGGAAATGTTACCCTCTTCCAGGAACCGTCCCCCCACCACCCCCAAAATACCCAGAACCTCATGAGCCAGATGTATTGACAGGTGTACCTGTCACACCACAATTCCGATGAATAGCTCCGCCTGCTTTTTGGGGGACAGACTCCAGCAAGTAGGAATCAGGCTATGCTCCACTAGTGTAAACTGGCCAAAGTGTATATCACCTGGTTTATATCGGGGTTTCCACATTGGATTCGATGGGCCAGACCCCAGGTGGAGTAAATCACCCTAGCTCCATTGGAGTCAATGGGACAGATCCCCAGGTCGTGAGTCAATGGGCTTAACTTTGCTTCACTTTGGAGAAATAACCCCGGGCAGAATTTTTTTTTCTGTTCTGTCAGCAGGGAGGGTCTTTGAATAGCCTTTGAAACCCACTCAGCCTTGTGTTGCTTGCTGAACTATTGGCTCCTAAGATGGAAAAGAACTAAGTTGCTCCTACTGAGCTGCTAAAGAGACCAACCAGAACAAGGATGCCACGTGACAGGAACAAGCCAAAGCCATAGCGGGTAGAGTAAACTCTACCGGAAGGTATTAGCTGTTACATGATGTGGGAAACAGCCTTCAACTGGGGTCTATAGGAGAGGACTAAACGGTCTTGCCACAGATTTAATGTCTCTGATTTGCTTCTGTGAGAGAAACTTCACCATAAGATTCTATTCTGTCCAGGTACCTGTATTGCACCCATCATTGTGGTGGCTTGGGCCCCCTGGAGATCTGGAAACAATATATTTAAGCATGAGTGCTTCAGAAATTCTTCTTTGGACAGTAACAACATTTCTATCTTTGAGTAAGTGTCCACTAAAAGGGAAAAATGAACATTAAAGTTTTTGTTACCTAATGGATTTGAGCAGGGGGTGGAATTAGAAGCCAAGATCCCTGGATTCTTCTCACAGCTCAGGGAGGAGAGCCGGTGTCTAGTGGGTTAAAGGAGAGGGTCTGGCCTCCTGGTTTCTAGTCCCACTTCTGAGAGAGGAGGAGAGTCTAGTGATTGAGAGCAGTTAGACTGAGAATCAGGACTCCTGGGTCCTAAGCCCAGCACTGACTGGGGATCATGCTGCAGTGGGTAGAGCATGGATGATTAAGGACTCAGGACTCCTGGGTTCTATTCCCAACTTCACTCCTGCCTTACTAGAAGCTGAGAAAACCCATCCTGCATTCTGTGCCTGCATCATTCTCTCTGTACAAAATACCTAAAAACAATCTTTCCATTTCTGGGAGGCCTTGAGTCCCAAAAGGCCTCTGTTCTCCTCACACGAGAATGGCTGTAGATGTGTGACAGGTTTACATGCTTACTTAGAGCGAACCTTTCCTGCATCTCTTTCCTTCCCTGCAGGTTTCAGCCAGGGACAAGGCAATGTCATGCGAACACAAGGGCAGCTGGAAAAGTTGGGAGGACAGACTATCACCCTGGCGTGTACTTTCTCCACTGGATACCAGAATTACTACTTATTTTGGTACAGACAGCAACGATCAGGGAGAATGGATTTCCTCTTCTGAATAGATGAGAGTAACGCTGAAAAGAATGGAGCCGGGAGACGATTTTCTGCACAATTCAGGAAATCCTCAAAATTCTTCAGTTTAACCATTAAAGAGCTAAAGCCGACAGACTCGGCGATGTATTTCTGTGCTCTCGTGGAAGAGACTGTGAGACATTTAATAGGAAGCCCTGTATGAAAACCCACCCCCTAGGCTTTCTCACCATGAGAAACACAACTGCAGAGTAGAATCCCCTGGCCCAGAGAGATGGTTAAACCAGATTGTGGGTCTGGTATGAATCACAGGGCCTGACAGCTATGAAGCCTTCTGGGCCTCATTCACCATTGAGTTACCCCAGATTAACCTCAGTTTACCCACAGTGGGTCTGCTCATCAACGGAGGTGAATCACTGTGGACCAGATGGAGTCAACTGGGCCAGATCCACCACAGGTATCAATCAGCTGTACTCCCATTGGGGCTGGATTACCCTAGCTGGAGTAAACCAGCATGGGGCCAGTGGGATAGATACACAAAGGCACCACACACAGAAGCATGCAGACACACACCCACGTGCAAGCACAAAATAGAGACAGATAGAAAGACACCCACACCTACAAAACCAGGACACGCAACATAGAGATTTTAAGTCTTTCACAATGTCTTTAATTCAGTTCTCACCAAGTAGCAACAAGAAGGACAATAAAAAGGAAAATGAATAAGAAAAAAAGACAGAAAGTCAGAAACCGATCTTCCAGGAAGTGCAGTGGAAGGAATTTGTCCCACGGATTCTCACCTGCGCTTCAATTGCCGACTAATCTGAACCCAGCACGTTTCCTGTGTCTGTTACGCATTTCCCGAACTCCGCCCTCTTCTGCTCGGCTGGTCCCGCAGTAACCGCTCCCAGCCCTTGTTCCCAGAAGTTGCCTTTCAGATTTTTCGCAGAGACCTCTCAGCTTGTCCGGCTGCCGCTGTCTGAGGCACCATGGAGACACCTTTCATTCTCAGTCTTTGGGTCTTTAACCAACTAGGTACTTGGGCTTTGGGTTTTTGGAAGAAGCGTCATGGAATTAGGCTCCCAACTCCCGTTCTACCCAGAACCCGAACCCTGATTCTAACCCTGACCCAGATCCGAACGCCTCTCCAGTGGGGGGGGGGGGTCCGGGGGGCCGTCCCATGAACAAGAGGTGTCCGAGTCAGAAGGAGAGACCATGGCCCTCACCAAAAAACCGCCCGGGTCCTCCCCTCCGATACCGGGAGGATCGGGAACCAACCCCCCCAGCACACCCCCCTGAGAGGAACGAAGGAAGTCAGCTCTGCCAGCGATACCGCAGGTTTCGCCCAGCAGAGGTTTTTTTTCTCAGGCTAATGACAGCGCCACAATTCTGAACATCGCAGCCCTGGAGCCGGCAGACACGGCGGTGTATCTCTGCGCCCTGAGTCTGGCCCAGTGACAAAGCCACCCAGCAGAGCTGTACAAACCCTGCTCCTCCCGCCCAGCCCTGCTACAGGGGAAGGTACAGACATTAAAAGGGGCAGCAGCGGCTTGAAAGAGAGTATTTGCTGTGCTTAAATATACAACTCCCCTTAAAAGTTAAATGTTATTTAAAGAGCTAATTTAAACATCGCCCTTGGATAAAATAATGGGCATATCTTTAATTAGGACGCTATTAACACCTCTTTTCCTGGAGTTAGGGATTACCTATATCGGTGTGTGTGTGTGTGTGTGTGTGTGTGAGTGAGAATCATTTGTAGTAAAACAAGGGTTAAATGTGAGTAGAAATGTAGGCAAAGTGAACTATTGTTGAAAATACAAATTGAGATAAAATTGGAATGAAAAATTTCCTTTACACATGGACAATATACTGTTAAATTGCTCATTTATGGTGAAAAGGGGGTCAAATAGGCCAGTTAAAATGAGGGGGAAATTGTTGGAAATACCCATTTTTGAGTGGTGGTGTAAAGCTACAGTTACCAACTCTCCCAGAGTGAAATCAATGCTCCTACTGTAGAGACAGTTGCCTTTTGGGGTAGATTTGCTTGGAAACTGTTTAATTGCAAGACACTATTCCCGAGACTATATGCTGAGAACCATGAACTCTTAACATGACAAAGCGTCACCATTTGCTGGAGGAAAATATAAACACGGGTTGTCTTTTGAAACCCTTCTGTGCTCTCTCTATAGGTCTCCGCTTAAACTGACGCTGATGGCAAAGGCAGCAAATGAAAGACGAAAATTATTTAAAATAATTCTTTCAGGAGTCCTGACTGGGCATTTCAAAGGAGGGTAACGGAGTTGGTCTCCCCATCCCGTCACATTTTTCTTGTGATAGCCCCAGACATTGATTGCGGATAAACATGCTCATGCCCCATCACAATGATACATGAATGCGTCGAGAAATCTCCACAGTCCCTATAGGAGCTGGGAACCTTCCCCAGCTTTTTTTGCAACTAGGAAAACGGAGGCACAGAGGATTACCCATCGTCACACACAGAGTCTGTGGCGGGTGAAGCAGGTCTCTGAGTTCCAGAGCAGACCCTTGCCCACAACCCCTGCCCCCCACCCCAGCACTCTGATATCTCAGCGGCTCCGCTGCGTTCCTCAAACTCCTCCCTCTTCCTCTGCGCTGGTTTCTAATGAATCTTCCACTGTTGTTGCTGCCCTCACAGACGGATCGTTTATATTCCTCTAAGAGAGCGACCGTAGCTGGGCGTTTGAAACTTGGTCGCTAGAGCAGATACTATGGAGACGTGTTTTCTTCTCAGCATTTGGATATTCAATCTCCTAGGTAACTGGGCTGGGATTTCAAAGAAGCCTAAGGAAACTAGACACTCAATTCCCATTGAACCCTAAACCTAACCCTATAATTAAGCCTTATCCTAGACTATAACCAAAACTCGAATGCTACAATTTAACAGTTCGCTCTCACCATACCCCTAAACCCTACCCCAAACAAACTCTTCTTCATACCCTTGCCTTAATCCTAACGTTAAACCCTAACCCTTCTCCTGCTCATAACATTAATTCCTATGGAGTTAGATGCCTAAATCCCTCTGACGGCTTTGAAATTCCCTTAAATTGCAGTGCAGGTGGAATCGTTTCCAAGGCTCAGCTACAGATGAAATGACCTCGAATGTGTTTGTCTTGTCGCAGGTGCTGCATTCTGTGACTCGGTCCAGTCCAAGGAATCCGAAGTGTCTGGATCAGCTGGAGGTTCTGTGACACTCAGCTGTTCTTACACCACCAGCGATAGCTATGCCTATCTCCACTGGTACCGTCAGTATCCGAACCAGGCCCCGCAGTACATTCTCTGGAGAGGAGCGAAGTCAGCCAGCCGCCAAAGCCACACTGCAGATTTCGCCCAGCAGAGGTTTTCTTCCCAGGCTAATGACAGCGCCACAGCTCTGAACATCACAGCCCTGGAGCTGGCGGACAGCGCGGTGTATTACTGCGCCCTGCAGAGAGCACAGTGAGACAGCCACGTAGGAGAGCCGAACAAAAACCCTCCCTTCCCAGCTGCAGATAATGTTCTGCACATTGAGGTTGGAAGCGGAGCCCCTCGGGAGTTTCGCTGTTAAAAACACACATTCTGGCTGGGGTGTGGTGCTGTCAGATTAATACTTCCTAAATCTCGCCAAAGCGCCTGCATTAAAACACTGGCTTCCATATGAGGAGAGATGAATAAAACCTGGACTTTTCACCTTGGAAAAGAGAAGACTAAGGGGGATATGATAGAGGTCTACACAATCATAGATACAGACTAACACTAGGCTACCCCTCTGATACTTGGTTCCCTGCTCTATAGATCTCCACTTTAACTGAGGCTGAGAGGCAAAGGCAGCAGATGAAAGACGAAAATAATTTGCAAAATATTCTTTCAGGAGTTCTGGCCTGGCGTTTCAAAGGACGGTGACGGAGTTGGGCTCCTCATCCCGTTACATTTTTTATGATAGCCCCAGACATTGATTGCTGATAAAGATGTTCATGCCCCATCCCAACGATACATGGGTGCCTCGAAGAAATTTCAAGAGTCCCTATGGGATTAACAGGATGCCTTCCACGTGTATGGGGGATATGACTGTGAACGCAGCTGCATGGACTGCTGAAAAAGTATGAAGGTTTATTATAATCTGAAATCCTTCTAGCTACTCTTCCTTTTAATGTCTAGCGAGGGAGACAACAACGGTTGTAGAAGAAAAGGCCAAACAAAGGAAAATAATTATTTCAAGAATATAGTCTGAAACTTTGAAAGGAGACTTTAGCTGCTCGCACCGCTCCTTGGACAATTTCAGGTTTCAGTCAATTAAAAACAACCTCTTTAGCTATGTAACCCCCTTCCCAGTCACTACTTAGCGCCCCAACCTATTTATCCTCCTATATCCCCCTGGCAGAAGGAGAAATGTTACAATCTCTATTTCACATATAAGAAAATTGAGGCACAGAACGATTTCCTGGCTTGTCCCAGAGCAAACTGGAAGTCGGTGGATTAAAGAGTTAAGAAGCAAACCCTCGTATCTTCAGTCCCCGAGCAGAAACCGACTTATTACAAACCCAGTTTTCTTCCCTGCACCACCCGCGATTTCAGCTGCACACTCACCCGAACACAGCTTGTTTCCTGTGTCTGTTAAGAGGCCCCCAAACTCCTTCCTCTCCCACTCGGCGGGTTTCTGACTAACCTTCCCCAGGCGCAGCCGCAATGGAGGTTAGGGCGCCCCTGAAGCGCAAAGCTGCTGCCCTCAGGACGTCACCCCGTTTCAGCAGACTTCTTTGAGGAGGGGGACAATTGTGTTGGTTCGTGTGACTCCTTCCATAGAACCCGCAAACAGAAATCCTAAACCATAGATTATAAAGCCAGAAGGGTCCACACTGATCACCTAGATCCGCCTCTCTCTTCTCTGCCTGATCGAGTGGTTCAGTTCCCTGCCTAGACCGTGTTACCCCCAGCAAGCCAGACAGCCCAAGAGGCCAGTCTCCTGTACCTTGCTTTCTCCCCAGAGGTGACGAGCAGCGTAATTGCCACAGTTACAAGTTACCAGGCAGCTGGTTCTGAAACAGCAGATGTATTTCTAGGGTGAAAGCATTACAGGAAAAACAAACAACAAACACATTAGAACAAACAACCCACCCACATGCTAAAAGGCTTCTCACAAGCAGCCCCTGATTCCAGCCTAAATGTCGGTCCTTCTAAACCCACAACCACTGGGTTTTTCCAGATGGGTCATAACTGCCACAGTTCCAGAACAAATAATTTACTCTTTCCTTTATATAGCTTGGGCCTTTAATCTTACCTGCATGTAATGAGAATATAAGAAAGGCCAGACTGGGTCAGAACAAAGGTGCTTCTAGCCCAGTGTCCTATCTGCCAACAGTGGTCAATGCTTGGTGCCCCAGAGGGAATGAACAGAACAGGGAATCAGCAATTGACCCATCCCCTGTGGCCTCATTCCCAGCTTCTGGCCAACAGCGGCTCGGGACACCATCCCTGCCCAGCTTGGCTCATAGCTCATCAGACACAGGCCGACTCCTCAGGCTGGGTGTCTGCTGGGGAATTTGCATTCACCTCCCCTTAGATGTTTCCCAGGCAAACACTCGACATTTTTTGTTCCCAAAGTCCTTTTTGGTCTGGCATTTTGTTCCATAGAGACCTTTGAACACTCGGTTCCCACATCACATCTCTCCCCTAGAGAGGTTACATACAACCCTCGTGCACAATAATTCTCTGAAATTTGGATTTAATACATTGGACCCCCTAAGATACTTCAACTGAATTCAGTAATATTTTTCAAGGGTATTGAAAGAATTCACCATATCTGTCACAACACAGGCCATGGTACCTCCATGAATTAATTCCTGTCTGTTTAACAAAGCATCTTTTCTGGGACGCGGGGGAATCCAACCATGATTGAAAAGTTGCAACACTTTGTAAATTGTTCCACTGGCTAATTGCCCTCAGTGTTGAAAAATATAACTAAGGCAAGCTTCTGTCTCTCCGCCATCTAGTGGTGAGAAGTATAAATACTCATTGTAATGTGAAATCCTTCCATACACCCTTATTTTCAGTTTTAAATCGGAAGTCAACAAAAGCAATTTAAAACAATTCTTCCAATAATTTTGGCTGAGAATCTCAAAGGAGGCTAAGGGAGTAAGGCACGAAAATCCCATTAAATTTCTCCTTTGAGAACCCCAGACTTCATTCCTACTAGAGCTACCCCCCTTCAATCCTTCCAACTTCACACCCATAGCCAACACTCACCACACTATCAACCTCCCTCACTCCACCATGTGATTGCCATCATGTGAAACCCCCCCCCCCATAATGGCCCACCCGGACATCTCTTTAAAAAAAAAAGTGGACACAAATCAGACGCCAAGAATTACAACATTCAAAACCACCGGAGAACCTTCTCTCTTTTTACTCGATTACAAACCAACCTCAAATGGACCCGGATTGGAGCCCCTGACTAATGCTCACAACTGACCTGCCCCCCCCCCCCCTCTCTTTTTCTTTTTTTATATATATATATTCTCCTTTTTTTTTCCCCCCCCCACTTCTATAAAAGGGGGTGTTTTGACCCAAACCCCCCCCCACAAAAATTTATTTTTTTCTCTAAAAGACCCCAAGGCCCCCCCCTTTATAAAAAAAAAAGATTGGAGTAACTCGAGATATTTATACTCACAATGCCAAAATAAGCTAGAGAAATATGACGATCACCTTGCAGGGAAAATGAAGCACAGAGCTATTGAGAGACTTGTCTAAAGTCATGCAGAGACTCTGTGGCGTAGCTGGAAACCAGATCTCCAAGCAGGGTTCTAACCACAAACCCAACCTTCCCTCGCTAGCTGGCTGTCAGCTACAGACTAGCCTGAACCCAGAGTGTTTCAAGTCCCGAACAACTCCCTCTTCCTTTGGGATGGTTTCTGGTGAACCTTCTACAACTGCTTTAAGAGGCGTGAAGTTAATTTTCCTGTGAGCAGCAACAGCTGAGAACCTCAGGTTCGGTCGCTAGAAGACAAACTATGGAGGCACGTTTTATTATCAGCATTTGGCTGTTTATCCACCTGGGTAAGGTGTCTAGGGCTCTTTAGAGCATCCTAAGGAAACCAGGCGCCCAAAGCTCACCCAACTCTAATTCTAGAGCTTTTCCTAACCCAAACCCAAACGCTAACTCTAAACCTCTACGCTAACCCACAACTCTACCCCTCACCCTATCCTCAATTCACGTGGTGTCGGTCGCCTAAACCCCTTAAACGCGTTTGAAGTGCCCTCCTAAAGTGCAACACCCGAAACACTTTCCGTGGGCCAAATGCAATGGAATTGGTGCCATTAGGTTAATCCTTGTGTTGCAGGTGAGGTGCTGGGTGACTCGGTCCAGTCCAAGGACCCCCAAATGTCTGGAACAGAAGGAGAGCTCTGTGACCCTCAGTTGCTCCTACACTACCAGCTATCCCAGTTCCCTTTCTCCCTACTGGTACCGCCAGTATCCCAACCGAGCCCCACAGTACATTGAGCAGAGAGGCGCCAAGGGAAACACGTATGATCATACTGCAGATTTCGCCCAGGAGAGGTTTTCTTCCCAGGCTGATGACAGCTCCACCCTTCTGAACATCCCAGTCCTGGAGCCGACAGATACAGCGATGTATTACTGAGCCCTGCAGAGGGCACAGTGACAGAGCCAAATGGCAGAGCTGTACAAAACCCCTTCCAGCCTTATTGCAGCTGCGGTTAGGCACATTGAGGCTGGAGGCAGGGGCCGTTGGCAGATTTGCTATACTGTGATGAAATTCAGCATTTGGAGCAGTTTTGGTGGTGTCAAGGTGTATCTTCCGATTCCTCCCACAAGCAAAGTCCTGTGCAGACATAAGAAGGGCTATACTGGGTCAGACCAATGGTCCTCCTAGCCCGTATCCGACAGTGGCTAATGCCAGGTGCTCCAGAGGGAATGAACAGAACAGGTAATCATCAAGTGATCCATCCCCTGTTGCCCATTTCCAGCGTCTGACCAACAGGCTCCAGGGACACCATCCTCGCCCATCCTCTGTCAGCCTTAGTTTTTCTGGGTAACATAAAAGAAAACGGGTATGTTAGCGTGGTTTGTTAGAGTACTAGTGTTTCCTTGCACTACTTTTAAATAATAACCTAGATTAAAGCAATGCTGGTATGTATGTTTGGGGCAAACAGAGGTTTGATAATCTAGGGCAAAAAATATTTTAACCAGGAGGACACACACACGCACACACACAGAGCTATAGAAAGAGACAAGCATTAAAATAATTGTTCTAAAAATACTGCGAGGAAGTTCAAAGGAACCCAGGTGAATTAGGCACCTAACTCTTAATTTCTCTTTGAACATGCCAGACTTCCTCTCTAAAAAAATCTATTTTCTTATATGGGCTTCTGAATGATATCTGAGCGCCTCAAATTATCCAACCTCACGATGGAGCCCTGAGGGAAAGATGGTCCTGTTCCTGTCTT